GCTCTGGGTGACCCTGCTTCGGCAGGGGGGTTGGACTAGATGACCCACAGAGGTCCCTTCCAACCCCTACTATTCTGTGATTCTGTGATTTTGTAAGCTTGGGGGGTCAGCGAGAAGCAAGACCCAACACAGCGAGGATTTACCCTCCCGCGGTCCGTCGCAGCCACTCGCCCCAGACAAGAGTGTAGAGGAGCGGGTGAGCCGCCGTGGAAGCGAAGCAATCCCGTCCTCAGATGTACCACCATGCACATTTTAATGTCTTTCACTGCCAGCTGACTGTCTAGCTGAAGAAAAAAAGAAACTTCTTTCAGCAGTGGATTTTACCCTGTTGCCAAATTTGTACAAAAGGAAAGTCTAGTCTGCTTTTATTTAGATCGCTTCCTAGCTGTCAGTCACTACAGCAGAACGCTCACACAAAACCACCATTACTATTCACCAATGTGTTTCATTTTTCTTAGAAAAGCACATTAGCCCTAAACTTAATCTAATCAACACTTCCTCCTCTGCCATGACAAATTTCGCTGATCTTAGATAAAGCTGCACAGAAACAGCCATTTAGTTCTATAGTCAGCGATTTATCTGACCCCAGTGGCTAAACTGAGGGCAAGGGAAACTTTTTCTGATGAAACAGAAAAATTTACTGCTGTGCTCCTGGAGATACAGCCCCCTCGCCCCCCGCCCCTCCACAAACACCCTGCGACAGTAAACCCACACCCTCGCACTGCCCGAGCCGAAGCCAGCTCTGTGTCTTATCACAGACAGGCCGCGTTTGGTTCCAAGAGCTTGGCTCCGATTCATTTGCCGATCCGATAACTAAAGAGCTATTTTGTGTGTCATTTGTAACAGGCATGCAGAGACTACTGCAGGCGCTGTGCTTCCGTATTTTAAAATGTAGGAATCAAAAGAATTTAAACACGCTGCTGCCTCTAAAAGATATGGAATGTATACAGAAGAAAATACATCGAAGCTCAAAAGCTCATTTTAAACATGCTGCCATTTGAATAAATAAAAATAAAGTTTTCAGTACATAAAGAAGGGAAACAACCTGAAAATTTATGATACGTATGGCCAGGCAAGTGCACGCACTGCCCTCCTGGCACTGCAGCAACAGAGAACACCAGGAGCTGCTGGTGTGGGTGCCGAGGACAGACCCGCTGCTGTTTCCAAGAGAAAGCACTCACTGCACAGTGGACTCACAGGCTTTATTTACACTTGTCTACAGAATCACTTTGCCTTACATTTTATCTAAGCCAAATGAAACCATAATTTTTCTTTTTCTGTAGCCTATCGTTTGCTAAATTTAAAAACTTTAACCTGTTAAGTACTGCAACAATTTTAATACAAAGCACAGGAAAAAACCCAAAGGCTAACAACATAGCATCTATCAGATCCGATTTTTACAATTTAGTAGTTGGACTTTGAAGTCGTCAGAGGCACAGTTACAAGACTAACCTGCTCTTGTGCAATCTACACACATTTAGCATTGAAATCAGATAGAAAAGAAAGCGTTAAAGAAACTGCAGAGCATTTTTTTCTGCAAAAAGATTATCAAAATATTTCTGCACCAAAACAATTCTGCTTATATACCAGTCCAAATGAAGTGTCAAAAGAAAAGAAAAAAAAAGAAAGCAGAACGTAGTTTTTAAATTTTGCTCCGTTTCTTTTTGTTCAGTTCATTTAAAAAAAGCAGTGGTCAAATACAGGTTTGGAAGTTTTACTACTGAAATCAATACAGATATATTGCTCTTTGCTTGCTTAGGAAGAAGAATTTTCCTTAACATACTTACCTTGTGATGGCACTGAAGATGCTTAAACCTTTCTTAACCAAACGGAGCTCAAGAGAGACCAAGTTTTAATGTGATATTGCTAGTGAAATAGATTCTATAAAGCATTTTAAGCCATAAATTATGTTTAAGGGAAAAAGAATGATTGATGAAGAACACATTTAAATGTCAGAACTTTCTACACAGTTTATTAATTTTCATTTTTAAATATAAATAAAATTCAGATACCTTGGAAATTTGAGTCACCCTAAAATGAATTTAGTGACGGCCTGCAGAAGCTTCACTTGATTCCAGGAAGCTTCTTCCATATTCCTCCATCTCAAGAGCAGCTCCTAAATGATCCTTTCACAAGGAAGGGTGGCAGAGTCCAGGGTCCGTGCATGTGAAAATCCCACGGCCAGTGCCCGCTGCAGAAAGGGCACTTTGCCGACTGCAGCAAACGGTTTCGGCAGTGACGGGCACCGGCAGCTTTGAGACTGGAGCAACGGAGAGGGCAGTGCCCAGCACCTCAAACATCCCCGCTTCGAAGGAACGAAGCCTAATTCACTCGCGACAGAATCGTATGATGGGCTGGGTATTTACCAGCTGTTTTGCACTGAGCATAGCTAAAGAGGGGCATCCACCTACACTTTTATTTGAATAATAAAAATAAAAAATAAAAAATAATTAGACCTAAGCACTCACTACTGTCATCCAATGGGTAACACCGGCCCTACAGCCACGCTAATCTTTCATGGTCCCATACGAGCTGCAGCAAACGAGCTCGGGAGTTGGATGCAGAAAGCTCATGGGTTCTTCCTACAGTCCTCAGATACTTGTTTGCAACTGTCACACGAAGAGCAGCGTTGCGTTAGAACGCAGCCAACCTCTGCCTGCTCATACATGTGAGAGAGCCAGGAATCGAGTAACTGAGTCTTTAAAAATAATAAAAAAACCCCGTACTCAAACACTAAAACTTCACACCTCCTCTGGGGAGTTTATGGCTTAAAATGCTACCTCACTTTTTGTTTCATGAATGAACAAAGCTGCAGTTTTCCAGAAAGCAAGGACAGACATGCACCTCTACTAGCAGATTTAGCACTTCTGACCAAGTAAGACACCAACTTCTTAAAAATGTCTCATGCACTGACTGGAATTTTTTTTTTTTTTTTAAATGTGAGCTCTCTTTCATTATTTCTTTTTAGAACTTGTACGGGAACCAGAATGGGAAGATCCAGATGATGATCTGCGGCGTCTGCAAGACATAAATGGAGAAAACATGCAAAGAAATAAGCTGAAACTGATTTTAGCATCCACTTTGAGTAGTCTGTATTCTATAATAGCTGGAAGCCAAGTATATCTGATAGGGGCCTCATATAGAATATAGAAATAACTTTAAACCACTTTAAGCTCGTGAATGTGAATTTAATACTAAAAATCTAAGTTTAATACTGAAAGCAGAATACAATTTCTAAATGCAATATTTACTTATGAAAATAAACCAATAATGTACAGGTTAACACTTTCAGACACCACAAGAATGGTGACCCGGGTCTTTCTATGGAACATACTTCTAGCGGGAGGAAGTTTCACTGGGGGGGAGCGCAATTACAGAGGATTTAAGAGGATGTAAGAGTAGGGGAAGTGAGAAAACTACTTTTAATCTCAGAGTAACTGATCATATTCAATTCTTTCCCAGTGAATTCTCAATCCTTCATAAAAAAAAAAATAAAAAAAAATCACACATTTAAATACACCCATTCTTATTCTACATAAACCCAAACCTTTCGGGTGACCGTGATCTCGATCGTCTTTTTTTGCGATCACCAGATGAAGAAGATCTAGAACGACTTCGCTTCTTGCTTCTCTCGGGGGAAGATGATGAACGAGAGCTTGAGTAAGATCTTTTTCTTGGGGTGGAAGACCCCCTGTAGGACCTGGAGCTGGATCTTTATTGATTAAGAAATAAATCAGATTTAATTCTGGTATAACATACAAAGAACAAAAAGAGACAGTTTTCACAAACACTCACTACTCTAGTTACGTCAGGCTTTTGTCAAATAAATTTGTGGGTGCTTCCATACTTACTCCTTAGTTATCTGCCAAAAGACTTCTACTGCTGCGGCAGTTCTCTTAATAAATTCTGCTAAATAGTGTTTCTTGACACACAGACCACCAACGGTTTGGAAACCTCTTTCCAGCATTCACCAGAATGGCGCATTCTGACAAAGCAGCGATGGGAGACTGGGCCAGGAAGTAGCCTATGTAAGGACCTTCCTCAGTAATTACAACTCATGAAACCACATGGCTTGAAAACTGCAGATGGAATGCTGATTTAACAACGTTTCACTTCATAGGAATGGGTATTTCACACTGGAAATTTGTAAAGTAGCGTTCATCTTACTAGAACAGTAAAAACTCTCCGAAGGTACATTTACACATATCAAAATAAATTTTAGTTGAGTAACACCTTCCACAACCAAAATAATTAAAAAGACTCATTTTAAAACACAGTCATTTTGGCATTTAAAAATAAAAAATTTACGATCTTCACTTACAATCACTCAAAAATCACTTTGGTTATCTAAAAAAACAAGAAAAAACACACTTGTGGAAAAAGTAAGAGAGCTAGGAAGTCCTAAACTGTAGTTCCAAAGTTATTTAAAAACACCTAACAGGATTTTTTTTTTCAGTGAGCCGGATATTTAAAAAACCCCACCACCACAGTGTATGTTGCTGGCAAAGTGTTTGCAGGGTTCACAGAATCACGGACGTTCTCACTGCAAATAATCAAGCAGTCCTGTTTCAGACAAGCTAACGCACCGAGGACGCTCGGTGGATGCCGTGCGGCCCAAGCGAGTAACCCAGCTCAGCTGACGAGCATCTTCAGCTTCTAGGGGGGCACAGGCACCCTTTTTCTCCTCCTACAAGCACGGATTCCATCTCGCGCTGGCCCTCACGCGATACTCCACAGCACGTTTCTGCCACCAAAGGGCGGTGGCACCACTTGTGATCGGTCTTCCCAACTCACACTTCCTCATTTACAGTTTTAAGATGCTCTGCGTGCATGGAGATGGGGCAGTTCTTCAGTCCATCGCAAAAGGAAAGTCCTGCCAACGGGATGCCTGCGCAGGGATCCCTCAAGGAACCTTTTTTAACACTTTTGTTACTCTCCCCTGCACAGTTCAGTAACTGTTACGCAGAAAACGTCAGCTAGCTCAAACTCCTGTCAGCTTCTCGCATAACTTACTATCAACATTTTTATACATTCCCCCCACACTTTTAAAGATCATGGCAGCACTATCTAGTGGAAGTCAGATACGTTACCGCTAGACACAAAACCAGGAGCATAGCGTATTTCCTAATGTTCTTCCACATCAAGTAGCCAAAGTAGAAACAGTAAAACCAGCAAAAATTACTGAAGCAAGTAAACATGCATTCAAATTCTTCTTCCTTCAGAGTGAAGATCTGTGGCGTCCACTCCTCTAGCTTAGATCAGACTTACACTCTTCAACCACAACCTCGCATTCTCAAGAAACACATCTGTAGTGGCAATAACCTCGTGCAGAGACCCCAGGCATTCTGACTTCCAAGATAACAACGAGTTAATGTTTTTTGACCGGCACAATTTAAACGATGAGAACAACAAGCGGTTGGTTCTTCTGCCCTTTCTCTCTCTGCAAGGAGAGAGTGCTACCTCATTCACCTTGATTTCGACCCACGAGATCTAGAGTGTTCTCTGGAACTGGAACGAGATCTTGATCTGGAACTGGAAGAACTTCTTGAATGGGACCTGAAACAACATGGAAGATTTTTTTTCCAGCGTCTGACTTGTGTTTAGCAGAATAACTGCTACTCTTAGCAGCAGAGACAACGATGCAGCAACACAATTTGGCCTAGAGTCACTAACAAAGCGACAATTTCCTCCTACTCCCGCAGTATCACCACAGAGCATTTTAAGACAGAAACTTTAACACAGTAAGATGGTGCATTAAAAAACTTATAAAGTCAGCTTTTTATGAAGTTTCCTAAAACAAAGCACAAAAATTAAACATGATTGCAGTTATCTGGCAAAGTGAAACAACTGCATATCTATTAACTATTTCACAAAATCAATGCCTTAACTGGAAAGCCATCAGTTTCTCTGGGAAGCAGAGCAGGTAAGAGTATGAGGACTAGGTAGCTCAAACTTTCCCCAAGTCAGTTCTCACAAGCATTCTGTAAGCAGTTTCAAGTTTTCATAAAGATTTTCCCCTGTATTAAAAATTAAGTAGTTAATTCTTGGCTAAAATACGGACATATCTAACACTACGTGTAACTAGACAAAATTATTTTCAAAATTAATTTTCAATTGTTTCACGTTGATGGATTTTCTTTAAAGCACAAACCACAAGAGATACGTAAAAATGGTAGCAGACTTGCAGTAACCACTGTAAGAAGAAGGCATTGCAATCAAATTCTAATAAACTTTTCAGGAAAAATACATTATACACGCTATCAGTCTCCCAGTTTATATTGTTACCATGTCTGTCTCATTTTACTGTGCAAAATCAAAGTATGAACACACGCTAACTAGAAAATACATTTAAACCTTTTTAAAAAACACAAAGAAGTATCCACAAATGGCAACTGGTATTTCCAATTAATTATCTGTAGCTAGAAGCAAAAGGAGCACCACAAAGTTGAAAGATCCCTAACGAATTTCAGTTATGACACCCTACTTTTTACTTCACTGTTAACGTTTGTGAATTAACGAACAAAGTTATGGCCAGATGAAGGAGTTGTGTTTACTCTGACCTTCCCACCCCTACACCTAAGAACTGCACTCCACTGCAGGCCACGCTGGCCGCACACCACCCTCACGCAGGACAATACAGCCACTCCCTCAAAGACCTTGCTCCACACCTCGCTTCGTTTACAAAATCCGCTGACGGCCGGTCAGCTTAGTCACTATTACCCACTAAGTGCTCCTCCTTGGAGCCACGTGGCAAATACACGTCTCTAGACGGCAAGACAAGGGGCAATGGGCACAAACTGAGGCACAGGAAGTTCTGTCTGAACATGAGGAAGAACTTCTTCCCTCTGAGGGTGACGGAGCCCTGGCCCAGGCTGCCCAGGGAGGCTGTGGAGTCTCCTTCTCTGGAGATATTCCAGCCCCGCCTGGACAAGGTCCTGTGCAGCCTGCTGTAGGTGACCCTGCTTCGGCAGGGGGGTTGGACTGGGTGACCCACAGAGGTCCCTTCCAGCCCCTACTATTCTGTGATTCTGTGATTCTGTGATCTGGAGGAGCAGGGAGGCTGAGAGTAGGCATGGCGAAGAACGTAATTTTTCATAGAAGAGGCAGCATGAAGAAAAAGCATGACAGCAATGGGGAGAAAGACAAAACGGAGACAGTGGCTGGCATGTGGTTAGTGCGAGGGTCTGAAGAATCTGGGCAGTGATCACAGTGGTGAGAGCAGAGAGGTGCAGTTACGCAGCGAGGAAGACTAGAAGAAACTTGAACTTTACGTAGATGAGCTTCATCTGTAACCGTATGAGCTAGTACCGATTCGAGGTCTTAAACCCATCAGTACCATCCTTGTATCAGTTGTAAGTCAGCTAAAAAGCTGCAACACAATTTATATCACGTTTATTGAATTGTTCACATATTACCCAATCTAAATAATAACGTGAGATCTTAAATCTACCCAGGAGACTTTTTTTGTGGCCCCGTACCTTTAGTGTTATTCTGACAACACTGCCACCGTAGTTAAAGCTTTGCCACTTGCCACCAAACTAAGTTCAAGTTTCTTGTCTTTATTTCCAGGCTATTTCCCACTCTGTCCTTTCACTGACTCTGTCTGGACTGCATCATCACTGCCCTCTTCTGCCACCTCCTCCCACTTCCACAATACCACCCTTCTGCTTCTCTCTTCAACAACTCAACACTGCTAGAAGAAGTTCACCCACTGAATCACATAGGGACAATGAGCCTAAAAGTAACATTGAAAATAAGTTACATTTTAAATTTTCATTGAAGGACTCGATTGAAAGATCAACTTAAATTTACTAAAACAAGCAACAAGACATATGAAGGCTCCCTGCTGAGGATCCGCAGAAGGTCAGAACAGAACATTACCGATCTATGTAAATTCTGTACATAAAATTGTTAACATTATTTAACTACAACTGTAAGGCAGTCAAGAAAAAAAAGTAAATAAAGAAGTTAGATACTGACATTTTGCCTGGCGTTACCCTTGACCTGTACCCGTTTACCTGGACCTAGACCTTGAGCTTGAATGAGAGGATGAGCGCGATGAAGATCGCGAGTGGGAAGATCGAGACTTAGAACGACTGCGCCTATTGGATTTCTTTTTCTTATTAGTGTCCTCTTCTTCACTGGCATCAAGATTATATTTTGAAAGGTCAGCATCATCTTCATCCTCATCCTGGAAAAATGTAGATTATGAAAAAATACTTAAATATTTCGATTGTTTTCTTCAACTAGTGTTTTTTTTACTTATTCTATGATTTGTTTTGCACTTTTTTCAGCCTTTGAAAACGCTGCTGTTAATGCATTTAATGGGATCCAAAAATTTTAAGAGTAAAGGGTGACTGAGCATTTGTGTTTCAAAGCAAACTAAAAAAAGCCTGCAAAAATCCACCTGAAGTCCCATCTTCTGTTATGTAACAAAGTTAATAAAAACACAGGCATTCATTTTTACCAGTTACTTTAAACAAGTGCCTTGAAGAATTTTCAGCCTCAAAAGCTATAACCATAATGTAATTCTGTAGAGACACGTTTCATACGCAGAATTTGGTGACTGCTGTGTGAAAAATCAGCATACGCGCACGTCTCTGCAGGACTGCTGTCCCAAGATGTGGACAACCCATGTATTTCAGGAAGGCCGAAAAAATATGAATATTTTACTCCATTTTATAAAAAATAAATCTGACGTGGTTTTAAAGCTAAGAATAAAACTCAAGAACACTCCCTTTACATGGTGACCATAGATAAATGTTCCAAATAAAGACATCAGATTTTTTGATTCTGATCTCAGATAAGCTTACAAATTTCTACGGTTTAAAAAAAAAAACATCTTTGAATGCAGACATTTAGAACAAAACAGAGCCCACGCACATACTTTACAGAAACCATAGGCACCATTATTCTGACAGCTACCCCTCTATGTTGCTCTAAAGGCAGCTAAAATCCAGACCAAACCCTACCTACCTCTACTAAACAGCACTACAGTAATGATTAAAAAACAGTCGCTAGGAAAAAACCAAAGCAAAACACGCTACCTCATCCAATTTATATTTGGAGAGATCTTCATCCTCATCCTCCTCATCTTCCCCTTCAGATTCCTTATCTTCTACTTCCTTCAGGATAGACGCAGGACCAACCGGCTTCCCTCTGTACTTTTTCTTTTTGCGTCCAAACTAAGAATTTTTATTGCATTAGAACAGGATTTAATCAAAAGTAATTTCCAACTGTATTGTTTGATACAACTTCTATGAGAAAATAAGTATACATGAACTTCAAATAAGATACTGCTCAAAGGGAAAGGCAAGTATCAGGAAACATCAATTAGCAACAAGAAACTTTCCAAAGAGATGCTTGTCTTAGATACAATTAGTACCCACAGGCAAGATTAGTGGAAATCTGAATTTAACACCACTGTATTTTGTATCTGTGTCTATGGGATATCTTTATAAAACAATGTTGAACATCTGGCTGAAAACAACATGCATGACCCTGAAGCCAGCTCCTTAAGAAGTTTAACAAACTCAGCTTATACCAGCTTGATTTGAACTCATTCTTAGTTTTTACACCCCAAAAAGCCAAACAGATGCATCCACGTTCAGTTCAGAACTTTTACACTTGAGCACTTGACAGAGACGCATCACAGTGTATTTCTGATTAGCGCTTCTCCCCGTCAGGAAACCAAACGCACATGTACGTCTCCGAAATGCGAATCACACAACGACGTGTCTCTCCAGAGGAACACATGCACCTCACCGTACCTCATCGTACTCCCCGTCTGATTCTTCGCGTTCTATATATTCCACGTTCTCTCGTTCATTAAATCCTCCTCCGTATCCTTTAAAAAGTGGTAAAACAAGACATCTCTTGAGCTGCACAAAACTCAGCTACATTAAGCACAAAGTTTAGAATAAACTTTCACAGAGGTTCTGGAAGCCGTCAGCAGATTTATAAATAAACACCGTAAGAACGTAGTACGATCTCAAGGGGAACACGAGTTGTTCCCGCACACGTTCATAGTTCCTGAGAAACCTAATTGACAAACTGGATTAAGACACATAAACAACAAGGAAGCAACAGTGTTTAAAAGACAGACAGACAAATAAATAAAAATAATAAATAAATCAGGATTATAGCCCAGCAGACACCCAGCTTCCCAGAAGAGCTCTGGCCGGGCTGCAGTGCCGGACAGTTGCCTTGGTGTGGATAAACACAAGACTATCTCCGAGGGGCGAGACCAAAGGCTACTGTCCTCGAAGACCAAGAAACCTCCTCGGTGTTTTCTGGGCATGCCAGTCTCTGCTCCCATACTGCAATTATTCTGAGACATAAAGCTGTACAGATATCCTCAGGGAGCAACAGGAATAAAGGCATCCCGCAGCTGCACTAAACTGTACAACTGCCGAGATTTCCCTTAAGAATCTTTCTATTCCTTTTTATCATGTCAGTGGAAAACTTAAACAGCTCATTTTAATTTCAGCTAACTCTGTAATTTACTGCCAGCGTGCGCAACGTGCTAGGTGTCCTCCACAAGACTCTGCCCGGCAGCTGGCAACTAGGAGCAGACAGCCGCTCGCCCACCCCTTCCCTTCCCCGCAGTGGGACAGGGAGGAGAATGGACAAAAGGGGAAACTCAGGGGCTGAGATAAAGACCGTTTAATCAGGCAACAAAGGAAACAGTATTAATAATGATGATGATGATAATAACAACAATAATGCAAAACAAGCTATAGACAATACAACTTTTTTCTGACCGCCTGATGACCGATTTGCAGCCAGTGTCAGAGCAGCGACTGCACAACACAGAACTCGTAGATTTCACAGAACTCCCAAAAAAGACCAAACTCCCAGAAAAAAGAGGATACTCCTGCCCCCCGGCCA